CCCGCTTCCAGAGCGGGGGGGGGGGGTCTAGGCCTGGCTTTGCAAATAATCTACTAAAATTAAGTAGCCACTCTAATGTTAAATTCTTCTCAGCAGCAAGTTTAAACTCTGGTGTTCAGAGGCCAGCCCGTCCACATTTCTCCCTACTTCCTAGCTAGCCAACAAATCAGCTAAGATGCTAAATATTTTAAAGATCAGCTGATCAGGATTTTTTTTAAATCCCTCTTAACATGAACATGTTAATATCACCCCAGTGGTTTCCAGATTGTGCAAGGCAAAAAGGGCCAAGGGCTTTGTGGGGCTTTTCCTGGCCCTGGTGGTCAGTGGGTGAGTCAGGGCCGGGAGGAGGGGGAGGCCTGCGCAAGTGTGGGTGGCAGAGGGGGGGAGGGGATGATTGGCTGCTGTGTGTGGGGCACGGCTGACCGTTTGGCCTCTTCCTTGGCAGGCTGTCCGCTGGCCTCCTGCGCCAGGCCACCTACACCACCACCCGCCTGGGCATCTACACCATTCTCTTTGAGAAGCTCACGGGGGCGGACGGCAGGCCCCCCAACTTCTTTGTCAAAGCAGGGATTGGGATGACGGCAGGCGCCATCGGAGCGTTCGTGGGCACCCCTGCTGAGGTGGCACTCATCCGGATGACCGCAGATGGCAGGTGGATCGTGGTGCCTCTCGCTAGGGGGAGGGGCGGGGGGGCTTACATCCTGGCCAAACACTGCCTCCGTATTGGGGGAGGAAGCCAAGAGGAGCAGGGGTGGCAAATTCCGTCCGGTTCTGGTTCTCAAATCCCAGGCGGTCTGTTGCTTGCTTCCCTCTCTCCCTCGCGAGTCGCTTCCAACCTTCCCCCTTTCTCTCTTGTCTCGGCTCCAGGTTGCCTCCTGACCAGAGGAGAGGTTATGCGAACGTGTTCAACGCGCTTGTGCGGATAACCCGCGAGGAGGGGGTGCCCACACTCTGGAGGGTATGTTCTGTGGGGGTGTGGTGGGGATTCAGGGTGTCCAGGGACCCTCAGGACCCTAGCCTCGGTTGGGAGGCCAGGGGCCCTCCCCAAGGAAACCTTGAGGGCCCCAGCCTTTCGGCTTAGAGGCCGTCAGCCGGGCCTTGCGTGCCCCACAAGGCGAGGCTCCGGGCTAGACCTGGGGGGATGATTCGCCTTCCTTTGAGAGCAGCCTTAATTCTGCTCTCTGGGATTGGGAGTTGGGGGTAGGGGGGGGAGACCGGCTGCCCATCCTCTCGGAGAGATCCTCTCGGCGGCAGCCAGGCCTTCACGGGGCAGAGGGGCCGCCTGTGAAGGGCCCAAGCCTTCCTCCGGGTTCCTCCGCCCCCTCCACCTTCCACCTGCTCTCAGAGAGTCAGGGTCTGCCTGGGGGCTTCCCAGCATGATTCCTGCCCCTGCCTTCCTCTCCCGCCCTGCCGGGCTGAGCAGCTGCCCCCCCCAAGTGTCCACGCACGCCTTTTGCAGGGAGCCAGACCGGTTCTCTGGGCAGCAAGGCCGCTGCGCCCCCTCCTGCCCCCTTGTAGCCTTGTAGGCCAGCCCCCTTTGGCCGCCCTCAACCGACACCCTCTGCCGTTCTCTGCCCCAGGGCTGCGTCCCCACCATGGCGCGCGCAGTGGTTGTCAACGCAGCCCAGCTGGCCTCTTACTCCCAATCCAAGCAGTTCCTCCTGGACTCTGGTAAGTGGCTGCTCTGGGTGGCGCTTGTTCCCGGGGGGGGGGGG